AAACTCATTCACATTAATATGTACTTCTTCTAAGAAAACCTACATATATTAACCTAGGTACTATAAAGTAAAATGAACGTGTGCAAAAAAAGAAACAATGAAGCTATTTTTTTTACTTGATTTATTCTTTTAAACCATTAATAGACCTAAAAAAGTGAATCAACGACTGGAACTTGTCATATAGCTGTTTCAGGTTGTCATCATTGTCAACTCCCTTGCCATTAGGACTTGCAGCAGGATCTTTAGCAGGACCCTTGGCAGGAGTTTTGGCAGGACTCGGACCCTTGGCAGGACTTTTAGGACCTGCTGCTGACTTCGCAGAAGCATGTTTGACTGCGGAGCTAGTGACATACGCCATAACTGCCAGACTTGACAGAATTATTGTATACTTAAACAGATACATTTTCACCTAAGTAGGTACATGAGTCTGACACAGGACCGCTTGAAGTGGCGGAAAATAGGTATAACTACCTACCTGGCTGTTGGGATAAGACTAAACTTCATTTTGTCCAGTTAACCAAATTTAAAGGCTGTTCGAACTTTTCTTGTTTATGATTTTTCTTGTTCCAGTGATAATTTAATTTCGGCAGAAAATTATAAAACTGCATGTCGATGTCGAATTTCAAGATCTTTTTTACAAATCGTTTCTTGTTTTTATTATAAAACTGTTAATTGAGAAATTATTTACGCTTTTATTCGAGTTAATTTAAGTCACGGAGAATAAAACGAAAAAAATCCCAACTAATATTATAAATGCGAAAGTAACTCTGTCTGTCTGTCTGTCTGTCTGTCTGTCTGTCTGTCTGTTACGCTTTCCCGCTTAAACCTCGCAACCGATTTTGATGAAATTTGGCAAAGAGATAGTTTGAGTCCCGGGAAAGAACATAGGATAGTTTTTATCCCGGTTTTTGAAACAGGGACGCGCGCGATAAAGTTTTTCTGTGACAGACAAAATTCCACGCGGGCGAAGCCGCGGGCGGAAAGCTAGTAATATATATTTGGAAATAAACAAAAATTTAACACCCCGATCATCCATGAAATCGATCACGTTTTTAATTCAATTTGATGTTTTATTCAATACCGCATCTACGGGATACACCCCGTAGCAATTTGCAATCTTTTGATGCAAATAATTTTAACTTAAAAATGTACAAAGACTTCTATGAAAATTATAGCTTTGCTGTATTGAGATATTGGTCAATGGTCACCACTAAGTTGTTGACCTTCAAAACTCAAATCTTCTATTACTTACTGTCTCCACCTCAATTGATAGAATCCAATACACATAAACTACATAATGCCCATGTTACAAGTTTTGCTCGTTGTAACGGCGCTATAATGTCCGCTAAGTTTAAAGCAAGATCTAAATAGCTATAATATTATGAATACTATACTCATAGCGCTCCCAGACCAAACAATTTAACAACCCAACGTACTAACTAGATTTTGTGAAGACTCTAGTATGTATACATCATTGGATGTCAATCCTTATAGGACCTGACTTACTGAAGCGGTACCCCGAGGCGACATTATAGCGCCATATCTGCGAGCAAATCCTACTGTTCCATCCATTATTATTCAGGAATTTGATGTATGAAACATAGGATTCACCATTTTTGGTTTAATAAAATGTTCTTTTCTTCTTTTTTACCCGACTACGGCAAAGCAAAAGGAGGGTTATTGCTTTCATCATCATCATCATTTCAGCCACATGAGTCCACTGCTGAATATAGGACTCCCCCAATGACTTCCACATCGCACGGTTGGCAGCGGCCTGCATCCAGCGCCTTCCTGCCACCTTTATCAGATCGTCGGTCCACCTTGAGAGTTTTTTGCTTTGCCTTCCTTAAATTTCTAATTTTACTTATCAAAATCTTTCATAATACTTAATAATATTCATATCACAGCAATCAACATCCATGAATTGCCTTTTATTAAAAGGGTGCAAATCCCGAGGAAATTACACTGGGTAGTGACGCGTATCTTTTTGAGTAAGTTTCTGTGAGTTGCCATGTTTTTGTTTTGGATTATATGCGCAAGTATAATCGTCGCACGCGCACGTGTCTTAAAAAGTTGGCCGCCTCGTGCCGAGCTCTATTGCCGGCCCACCTTCCTACGGCGCTAGTCGATGTCTCTAGTGCACATTAAAAGTGCAGTCAAACATATGCAAATTTAACTATCACTTCGTTCCTTCGTTGATAATAGGTAACCAAACATGGACTCGCGGTCCAAGACACTCGCGATAATAGTGGTGTCGGCGCTGGCAGGGCTCGTCCCGGTAAAACCGTGGACTCCTAGGCCGACTGCGGTGGATATGACCTCGGTGCTGAATAAGACGGTGTGCCCGATCAGTGTAGAAATCGATGAGGACCCCGAGCGCATCCCGCCGAAGATCAAGCATCTGCATTGCGCGAGCGATTCGGTGTTCCACCATTGGTGCATGCATCGTCAGTTGGCCCCCCATGAGTGCTGCCATCACGCGCACAATGACGCGTTGTTGTCCTGCGTGGAGGTGGTGGACACGCAGCTGGTTTACTTCCCAAAGCAGGACCAGAGGCAGCCGTATCGTATATCAGTGGGCTGCGTGTGCGCCATCGAGGCTATCGGCATAGTATCCGACGCGACGCCAAATTAGGCTTAAACCCGCTCCGGCGCGACCACCTCTCCCTGAGGCTGAGCGGGTCCCGAGAGTGTAATTTTGTCTAATTATTGCTTAAAGGTTCCAAACCAACGCTATCACACGCGATCAGCCGGCGTGCAGCGAAGGCGATCAGACTTAAATGCATTGATCGCCAACGCTGCACGCCGGTTGATCGCGGTGTTGTCCTGCGTAAATTATTCTACTATGCATTTTAATAAAACAAACCAACTCAAACTAGTATTTCTTTTACTTTTTTCAAATAGTTAAAAGGTTTATCATTACAGAAAATACACACTGGATAGAAAGTACCAAAAGTAAATATTAATTACTAGTAGCTACCTAAAATTGAAAGTTGTTAGAAAAGCAAGGTTACTTTTGGCTTAAAACAAAATCAGTTAATTTGTGTCGCAGTGAAGCTAAGGGCTGTTTAGCTTCCTAGTACCAGTATTGTCACAGAAAAGGTGATGCGCTAGAAATCGATAAGCGTTACGATTTTCGTAGCAAGATCTGTTAAGCGAAACCAATAAAAAATATTCACTTTAGAGCTTATTCCCTGAGTTGTGAGAGCACAATTAATGTTTTTGAAATTCGAATCACAAATTCGAACGGATCGGGTTTTGGTGGGACACTGCAAAAGAGATGTTCGTGTGAACGTTCATATTAAAACGGAATCCTGCAAAAAACATTTTCAGAAAAAGACGGGATGTCACCGTGGGAACAAGTTATCGTTGATCTTCATGTTGCTTCTAAAATTAGTTGCCAAAATTCTCAATATTCAATTGAGTCCCATACAAACAGTACCCCGCCGGGACATTATATCGCTATTTCCACGAGCAACCTTATCTCTGTCGAACTCGATGGCTCAACCATAAGTTAAAGTTATAGTACTATTTTTGAAGTAAAATATTCGCTTTCCTTTTGAGCGTTGGGATTTACTTTATTTAATTACTTTTGTCTGACAAAAAATGTAAATTATAGTAAAAAATATCTCAACGGGTTGCAATTTTGTCAGTTGAATTTATTGATTTAATATAAGAACTCCTACTTGGCATCTATATATTCTTATAGTACCTACCATTCTTGTTAATTTATTTATTTAAAGAGTTTATTGCATTAACATAAAAATGAACCGCACATAAAGGCGAACTTAATGCCATAAGTCATTCTCTACCAGCTGACCTTGAGCAGAGATTTTGAGTAGGCGGATTAATTTATTTATTGGCTTTTAAGTACCTAATGCCAATTTTCACCATCAATCCCTAATTTTAAGTGACCCCTATGAAAACAATAGCCTGTTATGTATTACCATAGGGGTCACTTAAAAATTAGGGATTGATGGTGAAAACGGGCATAAGCATTCCATTTGTAATCATGAAAGTATTATGCTTAACAAGGATCGGGAAAGAAAATAAAGCAAAGAAAAATCTTTTTTGAACCATTTTATTGCAATGGGGGCAAACAACCGAAGTTAACACACGAGCACATTGGACAGCCTTTTTTAAATGCTTTTTTTTAAATAATACTATGGCATGTAGTAGTCAAACACATAAAACCAGCTCTATGATTTAAGCAAAGAGGTTTGACAAGGCAGTTGGCAGGCTTTTAGTCGGCCGATAGTTGGTTCGGTTGTTTTATCAGTGTGAACATGTATGGAAGCACATTAAACTGATTTGGTAACGGCCGATTCATCATACAAATTATAAGCTGACCCAACTATCGGTTGACAAAAAGTCTGCCGCGCGGTGTCTTAAAAAATATCAAAAAGAAAATCTAGAGACAACATGAAATATTTTCTGGATCCCCCAAAGCTTAAATATTGAATATCTATCCGGCATTCTTAGGATCTGGCCCATGTCCATCATGTAAGAGAAATTGCTCCCTTTGAAAGGCCTTCTGTCCATCTGGATTGTTGCAGAAATTGTTACTTGGGCCACATTTTTCTTTCTTCACGTCGTCTCCGACACAGGTATTGACAATTGCCAGAATTGCCAGAACTGTCAAAAGTATATTCAACTTACGGCGATACATTTTCATGTGTTACTTATGTAGGTTTAAGTCTAAAATTTTAAGTTAGAAGTTGCCTTTTTATATTTGGTTGAAATAATTAGAAACTGGTTGTATCGAATTTCATGTCATAGTTTATCTTTAACACAAATGTATTATTTTTTATAGCAAATCTTATTTCAAGGCTTAGTTTTTGTAATTTATTTTTATAATGTGAAAAAACTGTGCGAAACATAGTAAGTATTCAAGAAAATAGATAGAGAGAACGAAGCCATTTGTGAGGGAGCCTCTCAACGCTCCACAGTCACCTACGAGTAAGTACGTATTTACCATAATACAAAGAAAACAAATATTGAAGTTTGCACGTGGAATTTATTAAAGTCTCGGTATCCAAAATAGTACATAGCATGGTCATTCAAAGATTACAAAGTATCTCCTCCAGCGGTATCAAGAAATAAATATAGTACACCAATCACCTCCTCCCTTTTTCGTGCGAATCCATTGTGAAGCATCGAGTATAAAAATAAATAACTAGGTACAATACAAGTAAGACCATTAAATATAATATGTGAAATATATGAAATACATACAAAATAACATTAACCAGTAGATGGATAAAAATCTGAAATAAATTAGTCAAGAGAAAGACTTGAAACGAAGCGATACATATACGATACATTAAGCTTATCAGATGCGCAAGAGGGTTTTTAACGACGCTAATAAAGTGAGGTGTGGTAACTTTATTTACTTCTACCGCTATATCATGGGATAGATTGCACTTCAATTTAAACAATGGGGTAGTAAGGCGAGTCCATCACCTTGCAGTTGTCATTTAGAGCTGACATGAGGATGTACCCGTCTTGCCCCCAGTTTTCTCCCCAGGAGTTGCGGACGATCCAGTAGGGGGTACCGTCGCGTTCGCCGTAACCGACCACCACTACTCCATGGTTGACGTGTAAGCCCTCGCTGTGGATTGAAACAAAAATAAAATTATTCACTGAGAATCCGATGCAGCGGTGACCGGAAAACGCAGAGTGGGACGTCCACCCGGTGATCTGACGACAGCATAAAGGTAGCAGGAAGGCGCTGGACAATTGATCAACATGGAGATCACTGGGGGAGGAATATGTTCAGCAGTAGACATCCTGTGGCTGAAATGATGATGATGATGATGATGAGTGTAGAAAAGGTTTTACCAGTTTATGTCGTAGAAGATTCCGTTGGTGTACAAATACATATTTTTCGAGGCATGTATCGCGATGGACACGGGTCCATACTTCACCAGAGCCAGCTTCAGGGCTTCTGGGTTCCTGGGGGTGACGAGTCCGAAGCCCCGGATCTTGAAGGTGTCGGTCGTGTTGTCAACCTTGCAGTAGCCATCCTGGAAAATGAGAATTTTGAGAAACTGAACTGTGATGCATGCGTCAGTCTCAAAAACGATCATCTATCAACCCTTGTTAAACCTAGAAATAGTTAACAACATAATTAGCAATATTGGAAGACTAACTTTTACCAAAACCCAAGTGGAGACTCCGTACCAACCGTACCGTACCGTAAGTACTTGGGCCTTTCGAGGGTGCTAATACATGTCCCAATTATAGCTTCGGGAGAACATATGGGCTGGTGCTGAGAAGCAGTGGCGGAAGAAACTTTGTCACCTTTTTAGACGCCGCAACGCATCCTTTGCTTTGGCTCTCCTTATTATGTCATAAGTAAAAATAAGATTAATTACCTTTTGTCTGTATTCGTACTGACTGTCAAATGGGATGCCATGCTTCAATATGTACTCGTAGGCCTTGTCGAGCTGACCACCATTGCAGCCAGCATTTTCGAAGCTAGAAATGATAAAAGAGAAACAGTTAATTATTGCCTAAATTATTGTCTTTCATATCTTTCTTAAGCCTGTGACCTAGATCTAAAATCCAATTACAGCCTGGAATCAACACTTACGCCTTAAAGATATTTCAGTTTGTAATAGTTACTCGTGTTGAGGTCGTAAGTTAAGAAAGATTGCTAAGGCTGTGTTGCCTCACCTTAACTTTAACCGAAATAAATAATAACTTTAACCGGTGTTTTTCTATGGTTTGTTATAGTGCGACCTAGGGTAAGAGTTCCGATTCATGATAAATGTTACCATGAGTCTACTTTAGGTGTGCTCGCTAGCGAATGCGTAAAAAAATGACATTACATGATGACTAACTGTAGAGCGCTCCTAGCGGTTACTTTCAATAACTAAGATCTTCATAGATTTTATTGACGCAATCGCCAGCGAGGTCACCAAACTCGTGGTAAGCACACTTATTTGATGATGATCCATCCGACCGATTTTGGCCATGGCGACCACTCCGACTCCTAGCTGTCTTGGCGGCGCTGGTGTGCCCGAAGATGGCTTACGTAGCCGATCTTCGTGGCAAACCCCCTCGCACAATGAGGGCATCTGAGCACGCCGCCAACATAGTTATTATAGTGAATGGCAGCAGATGGACGGGCCTTCAAGTCATCGCGCTTCGCGTCGAGTTTAGTCGTACGCTGCTCATCGAACTGGATCTCTATGGTGACTATGGTGAGAAGTAACAAAAAGATATGCCTACCCCCAAGCACAGTCTACCAGCGACTGTTCACTGAGATCCACGTTGCGACCTCCATTAGACTTTGACAGCGCTCCCTCCACGGTGGCGGTGGTAGAAAAGGCCCAACATGATCCACATTCACCTTGATCTGAAACGAAAGTACTAGTCACATTTTTTCTCATAAGTAGAATAGGTACAGTCAGCGTCAAATAGTTTGTGACATCCAAAGTAGCCATAAAGTTCGCAACACGTTTCATATACAAAGACAAAATACAAAGACGAATCATATACAGCAGATATAACTAAAGCCCGGTCTGTGAGCAAGCCACCCATCCTTATCGCTCGCGCGTAATTATATGTATTGCTGTCGCGACTGTGCGACGGGCGCCCGCAGTGAGTGTGCAAGCGCGACAACAACATAATTACGCGCGAGCGATAAGGATGGGTAGATTGGGGTCATTGGACAAAATTCTACGAGCTCGCAGACCAGACTATAGTAAAACTCACTCTTGATAGGTCCAACATAGCCCAGGAACCTCATGTCATAGCTGTCAGGGAGATCCTCGGCCAGTTCCTTTACTTCTTCGTCGGAGTGGGGGAAGGGCATGGTCCCCACCGCCGTGGGGGACGAAGGCCGAGTGCCGGCGAGGATATTCAGCTCCTCTGGGGTGCGGTCAGCGAAGACGTTCAGCTCCATCTTGTAGCCTAGGTTCTTGAGGTTGTGGGCGCGGATCATTCTGGAAGAAGAGGTTTCAGTTCGAGTAATGTCATCTCTCGTTCACACCTCTGCAACTCCTTTAAAAGAACCTACAGTTTAATACAATCCTATCGGATTCACTGGTGGCCAATAAGTTGTACTCAAGCTTCATTGGATACAGTGAAGGGAGCAGCTTAGAATCCCAAATTTAATCAGAAGATTAAGGGAGGAGCTTAACGTAAAGCGACTTCCTTACATTGAAAAGGAAGATAGATACATGTAGTAAAAATTGTTTTAAGATTGAAATTCGTATCAGCTAAATGACGTCACTGCTGTACAAAGGTTCCTTCGAAAAATACATTTATAGGAGAATTCTCATGTGTCACTGCAGGGTTAGCTACAGTCACCCGTCACAGAAGAAAGTTTTTATAGCTTTTGCATATCAACTCACTTCCAATTCTTGTGGAATATGGCTTTCCTCATTGCCTGCTCATTTTGCTTGTACGTCTTGCCGTGATGTTTTTTGTAACTGAAAGGACAAAAAGTCTCTTAAATATTTGGGATCAGCAAATTACGAGTATTATTTAAAGATTGAAATAGAAATTAAAGTTACCTGTGGAATGCCTTCTCTACATGAGCAGGATCATGAGGATGTAAATGATCGATGATGGCTTTAAATTCAGGATTTTCATCAACTGGTTCATTACAGTCTTCTGCAAAATGCAAAATAAATTGTTTGATTTTATTGTATTCACTATCAGATCAATTTAGCACAAAGGACCACTTACCATCTTTCAGGGTGACTTCATCAGCAGTAACGATGAAGGTGAACTGCAAGTAGTTCCTGATCATGTTGGCTTGGATGGAGCCGTCTACAAGGTTCAGGGCTTTGGCGATCACCCTGGAAGTTATTAGAACATTAATATGAAAGTGGTACACTGAAAACCAGCGTCGTGGCCTTACCCACCGTGGGCCACGGCATATGCTGAGTGGAGTCCCATTGCGATGGGCATCGCTGTTGCAACAGGGTGGCACTGCTCAGTTCATTTCCTTGTAATATTTGTGTGATATTTCTGTCTTTTTTCCGTATACTTTCTTTGTTCTCTAAGCTGTTCATCGTAATAAATATTTCATTCTTTCTAAAGTCCTTTGTCGGTCTGATCATCAATTTCCATCGGGTGAGACGGAAGCTACAACCCGCTCGAGTTAACTGCACACCCGCACATCTCCCCGTCACGGTAATACTATCTATACAGTATTCCAACTCGGCCATATTTTTGAAATAAATGTCAACAGTCGCGCGGTACGTCACAGTATGACAACATGCGGTAGGGCTGCCCACCTACAGTACCCAGTTTAATTACATCTGCCTACTTAGAATTTCTATCTAGTTTTGTGATTGTATTTTTTATTTAGTTAGACAAACAAAATACTTTATGAATAGAATAGGTTAAAAATGTGTGTCGTTTTGTGATTAGTAGATTTAATTTAGTAAATAAAAACTACTTAAATAATTTCGAAACTTTAATAATCATAATGATCTGTTACTTTAATTTCGGGCGGGCGAAGTCGTGGGCAAAAGCTGGTTTGATACAATATAATTTTCATTTCAAATCAAACTGACTGAAAATGTAAATTTGACTAGTTTTTGACCAATTTGACCGTAAATGACGGTCAGTCAAATTCAATTAGTTTTGTCATTTTTAACACTTGGCCACCGACGTCCATTCGGCACATTCGCGACACCCCCGACTTTTGCATACCGAGCGCATACCGAGATTTGAATTTCGAAAGAAAGTTCTCGTTTCGTCTGTTTATATGAAGTTACAATACTGTATGATATTATTACCGTGTCCCCGTTCACCCCGTCCGTACCAGAGCGTCGACGTGACGTCACGGCTGCTAAGTGGCGCAGTTAACTCAACCGGGTCCGGGTTTTAAGAGCTTCATCGTTATGGGTAAAGAAGAACCGAACCTGTTTATTTCATTTTTTTTACATTAAGGAATCTTTACTATCCATCCACAAAAAGCATACGATGTCACTACTAGTATTTAATCAGCTGTAGGAACATTATAAAGTAGGGTTAAACTGTGAGATACTGTACCTATGAGGTAAAGATGTCAGTCTTTCAAGGGGGTAAAAGAGACCTTAAAAGGCTTCGTAATGCCGCCTTTACAATGACACCGTACTGGCACAGTACTGGCCCAACCGGACATCGACATTTTTACGTCTAGTCCAATTATGCCTTTCGAAGGAGTATCGCTACCATTTTTAATTAACAATTTTATCTTATTTTCCTCTTTCACTATTCTCACACACATAATATTAATAAACATATAAATTTTTTGTAAAATGTAAACTGATTTTTTGAAGTTTTGTTGTAACATTTTTTTTAATTTTTTTTTATCCACAACGAGGAAGCTCTTGGCCTGTTTCTCACCTGATGGTACGTGATTAACATATATATAGGATGCATGTTGTTAGGTTACAATTTAGCCCATAATTTTACGTGCTATAAAATTTTAATTGTAATCTGTTTTACATCTTTAATAAATCTATATATATATATAAATGAAACCCGTTTTCCGTTGTCACGACATAACGGCTTGACCGATTTGGCTGATTTTTTTTTGTAGTTTTCTAATACTCTGTACAAGGTTTTTACGGAAAAAAATATAAAGAAAATCTCTACGCTAAGGCGGTACGAAGTTCGCCGGGTCAGCTAGTAAATAAATAAATATCTAAGTCATTTCATAAAGACGAAATTAATGTTTCTAATAATAAAGAAATCAAAATAACTCACTTGACAGGCACGTCGAAGTCGTAGTCGGTCCTGTACACGTACATCGTTGATTTGACAGTAACATGCTCTTCATCTTCTGACTCTTCTTCTTTTATCCACACTCGCACTGTTCTGCCATTTTCTAGTTCCTCATCTAAAAAATTAAACTCTCAGTTATGTCTGTTGACACACTCATATTACATGTGACGTCACGGAAGTCAGGTGCGCAGATAACCTGACCGAGTTGTAAGTGACTGCTTCAGACGCAGAGGTCCCGGGTTCGATTCCCAGTGGGGGCAGATTTTTCTGTTCGGTTTGGTTGGTGGTAGGCCTTGTTCTAAGTCCGCCTGGCTACCACCATATTACTGTACTAAGTCTGTCACCATAACAACAATGTTAACAGCATTATTGTGTTCCGGCAGTTAGAGGTAAGATAGCCAGTTCCTCCGTGGTTGAGGATTCCGGGTGAAGCTCGCTTCTACCTTCGGCCTGATCATCACTTACCATCAGGTGAGATACAGGCCAAGACCTCGTTGTGGATAAAAAAAAAGAAATAAAAAAGTTAGCTATCAGTCAGCCAGCGAAAGCTGCCATGGATACTCACGCGAATATTCGTAGCCGTCAAGATTCGGCAAGAAGTCACGCTGCTCGCCCTCAGAGTAGCTTTGGATGCAGATATTCTCGTTCCTCACAGTTTCAGTTGTGATTGGGTGGATCTGAAACGTCATACAGCTGTCAGGGGGGCTATTCCGAAACGCTGTTTACGTAGTTTCGGGTCTATCTGTCACTATCGCTCATGGTGGTATCTCGCTATACGTGAGAGGGATGGCAGAATTCGAAATTTCGGATCACGATTTTCGGAGTAGCCCCTCAGGCCCGGTTTCCACCAAGGCGGAGAAGTGTCGAGCGGACGAATTATTTTATAGTCAGAATTTTGGGTTTTGAGCGGCGCGGACCATAGCTGTGAGGAACGGAAAGGAGATGTAGAAATAATGAAATATGATTGTTTATTCAAAATACTTCTCCGCTCCGTTGCTTGGTGGAAACAGGTCCTTACAGTGGTTTATATTGAAAATACTTATATTATTCAAGCCAAAATCGGTACAGTAGGTACTAATGAGTGGTCCCAGTCGCCGGAAGAAATTTTTTTTCCGGATCCGGCGATTAGGGCCGCGGTCCCAGTTAATGGCGGTCCCAGCCGCCGGAAACCTCGCCGCAACAATCACAGGTGTAACCAAAAGCTCTGGTGTAAAAAAAAAACACAACGACTAAAAAACCTTGCTACTTCATCGAGTCTTCCAGTTACTTGGCCCACTTTTAGCTTGGTCCACAGGCACATTAAATTTTTAAATATTTTTTCTTCCAGCGACTGAGCCCACTCTAATATTGTACAGTAGATTTTCGTTGATATGGCGTTTAATTTATTAATAAAAACACTGGAGGTAGGTCCAGTTACTGGGAGAAAACATATTTAAATATTCAATCCTGCGACTTGGCCCGTTTACCAAGCTAAAAGTGGGCCAAGTCACTGGAAGACTCTCCCATCGGCGGTAATTTCTGCGTACTATATTCTCTGACCATCATTGCTACTTCATCTTCAATTCATTACTTACCTCGTATTGATAACCCATGTCGTCATCAGACTCGGCGATGTAGTATATTTTGTTGGTGCCATTGTTGTAGTCGATACGGGACCTGTTGTGCTCGGCACTGTACCTGTTACCCGAAAATTAATTCATAAATAAATAAATAAATGGTATATTTACATTTTTGTGGGGCTTACACGGCTTGTATTCAACATTGGCCCATTTGTCACAAAATAGTACCAATTCCTCTCTTCCCATGAAAATAGTAAGAGCGACAGAGAGGAATGTTATAGCAAGAACGTCAGACCAGCTTCTTGACATGCCCTTTCGATGAGCTGCACGATAAATGCTTAATAATTTATTATTTACGGGATTGCTACCATGTACCTACTATCGGCAACAGTGTTAAGTGCCCATTGACAGTCATGTCATCTCGTTATATCACAAAGAATCACCATTTGATTAGAGCGAGAGCAAAAACGGAAATGGATAGTTAACAGTGTGGCCGTGTGTACCTTAATGTAGAGTTCCCGATATTTCAGCACTGTTGTAAATAATAATTAATTATTATGTTAGCGACCATGTAACGCAACAATATAACGATAAATGATGTTGGCACAGTTTATATCTCTTCTTTTTTTTTGTCATGTACCTCCGACCTCCGTTATACATGTTTTCTGTGTCAATAAATTATTTCTATTCTATTATATTCTTAAATAAACAGGCGAAAATCAGGCGCCCGTATGGCCTTGCGTGTGGACTGTGGACAGTGGGCCAAATCCTTTAATTACTTTTCACAGCACAGTTCATTTAGCTGTGTGGTTTGGGTAGAGTCGAATAGGACCAATCGCATTTCCCCGTGAAAGTCGTAAGAGGCGACATAGAGAGACAAACATGTGAACATCGGGCCTTCGTTACCCATCCAAGCGTAGGGCAGTAGGCCAAATGGTCCATTTGCCTCGGGCAAATTGGGAAAGGAAGCTGACAATAGTGACTGAGTTTCTTGCGCTGCTTCTTCTCAGCACTGGCCCATTTATTGTCCCTAATGATTAATACTGGGACGTGTAAAAGTGCTTTTCAAAAGCCTATTTGTAAAAATGAACGAGTTTTATAGGTGTTCGTGTAGTAGAGATGATAATGTCAATTTTTATTTTAACTTACCAAACCTGGAAGTTCTCAACGAACGCGTTAACCAGGTCGATATCTTCAGCTTTATAAGAATATTCGGACGGCCATATCACGCTTTCTTCTGGGTCGTCGTTTTCTGGAAGCAAATCCATTAAAAATAAACTTTTTTTTATTAAAAAACTAGCGGCCGCCCGCGACTTCGTACGCGTGGATCCCGTTTTACCCCCTTCATCTATCTTACGCGGTTTAGGCTTGTTATAAACTTACATACGTCAATGAGTGCTAACTGCGCGTATACGACGATTTTGAATCTAAGTAATTTCATACAAATATTTTGTGTGGTGGCAAAACGTAGATTTTATTTTGTGAAGGTTAAAACAGAAAAGGTTATCTAGTTCTTTTGATACACACACAAAATTGTATTAAAGAATTAACTTATTTCCAAAAAAAATAGAAAATAAACTTACCCACTAAAACGTAGGCAGAACTAGCGGCTATTATTAAAAAAACTAAATAAATTATCCGGGACACCATTTTGGGGCCCTGTAAGCTACCAAATGTCGGGCTACGGGGAAAATATCGCATTTTATAGTAATATTTTTACCTAAACAGTTGGGATATCGCATTTAATGATAAAGGATATTGCACACTTGTCCTTTCAACCCATCATTTTTTTAAATATGTAGGTAGGTATTCCATAAATCCGATAAGGAAATCCTTGGGGGAGGCCTTTGTCCAGCGGTGGACGTCATTTGGCTGAAAGGAACGATGTAGTCACCTATCCCTAGTAGGTATACTTATTATTATTCTGTGGTATTACCTAGTAATTAGTTGCAAACATGATTTGTGTTAATATTTTTAATTTTTAATGTAATTGTTGTTGTTGTTTTCATATCTCGTTTTTTGCTTTTTTACACGAGAGTACCCATTATGTAATACTGTCTATTTTTTCACGAATATTGCTTTCCGATAAATCGTATACAATTTGTTTTATTTCATTCGTCTGTTTATTGTAGTCGCTAAAAATCGATTTGAAACCGATACATTATGCCATTTAGTCCTCGGTCAGTGAAAATGTACCTTTACATCGATTGTTAATTTGATAAAGCACACCAAACCGCTATCTGGAAACACTTCATTAGCAGGGATTTTAATTAATTACTTTCTCTCTATCAGTTCTAAAGCAGAAATTTGGTACAAAACTATAATGAGCATCATTATTTTTTATACATCTAAAATCTATATTAGATAAAACAAATGCAAGCTTAGTCTGTATGTTCACGCTAGAAATTCTGTACCAATTTTGATGAATTTTCCCATTTCTTTGAAGAAATCCAAACAACTCTATTTATGGAAAAACACCAACTCTTGCAAGTTCTTTATTAGTTACTTATACAGTGTGTCCGGGCTTGTAGTGATCAAACTTTAAGGGCGTAATCTATGGACAATTTTATCGATGAAAATACTTCAAATTTGGGGCTTGACCCATTTCTCGCAAAATTACGAGGATTTAAGTATTTAATTTTTAGTTTTCACCTCTTCCTTCAAAAACAAGTGAAAGCGTGGGTAGCTTAACACTAATAAGCAAAAATTTTATATCATGCGATAGCCAATAAAATTATCTATTAGCAGAAGTAGAAAACAGATACAAGTTTCATACATTTTAAAGGAGTAAGAATGGATTTAATTAGGAAAAAACATGACTTTTTTCACTTCTTTTTCAGTTATTTTCCAACACAAGAAAAACCAGGTCGTTAAGGTATGTTTTATTTGCATTGTATTATTAGTATTTGAGATATTCTACAAAACGAATGTAAATTTATTAGTCTACGTCTATTAGTTTCGACGTAATTGTTGAACAAAGATACCCCTTCCCAGCGGTTTCCATAGCGCACGCGACATGCGAAAATGCACTGCCTGAAAGAATCACACAACCTATTCCGATTACTATGGAAACCGCTGGGAAGGGGTATCTTTGTTCAACAATTACGTCGAAACTAATAGACGTAGTAGACTAATAAATTTACATTCGTTTTGTAGAATAGCTCAAATACTAATAATAAAATGCAAATAAAATATACCTTAACTACCTGGTTTTTCTTGTGTTGGAAAATAACTGAAAAAGAAGTGAAAAAAGTCATGTTTTTTTCTAATTAAATCCATTCTTACTCCCTTAAAATGTATGAAACTTTTACCTGTTTTCTACTTTTGCTAATAGATAATTGTATTGGCTATCGCATGATATAAAATATTTGCTTATTAATGTTAAGCTACTCACGCTTTCACTTGTTTTTGAAGGAAGAGGTGAAAACAAAAATTAAAAACTTAAATCCTTGTAATTTTGCGATAAATGGGTCAAGCCCCAAATTTGAAGTATTTTTATCGATAAAATTGTCCCAAGATTTGGCCCATAAAGTTTGACCACTACATGCCCGGACACACTGTATATTGCTATTTTATGCCATCTAGCGACAGATTTATAAACTTCGCCATATTATGGTCTTCCATAGGTGAAACATTATAGCGTAAGGTTTGCGTCACGTATTAATTGTGCCTATGAGATTTATTATTTATTAGTTTATATCGTGAGTTAGATTTATTAAATTAAATTTCTGGATAAGTAGAGACAATAATACTTAATCAATGTATCAAAGTGTAGAGATGTGTTTAACGCCATCTGTTGACATTTTCTTTTACTAACAACCACGAGAAAACGAGTAAGCTTGCGGAACATTTTAGTTTCGTAGAGCCTCTATCTAAGTCAAAATAAACTTTTTGAAACAAGCTCCTGCCAGCGGCTTTACTCGAAGATTTAGCCCAGCATTTAAACAGTGTTCATCCTGAATACAAACCACTTTAAATGAAATTCGATATAGATGTTACAGTCAGAATTACTCATAATCGGTCAAAACCACTTTTGACGTTTAACAGAAGTTGTTTTGACCAAGGGCGTTAGTCAAAATCACATTTGAATGCAAAATATCAGTCAAAAGTGGTTTCGCCTGATTTAAAATTTTATCAATCAGTCGAAATTCATACAAAGTGTTATAATTAGTGGAAATTACATGGAAATCATCAAAAAAACATTTTAAAGTCAAATTTTCATATGATTTGTGCATACAACGTGATCACACTTACCTTAGGTACCACAGTAATGTTGCTTTTTATTTCTTGCCATATTTTTAAGACTTTGTATGAAGCTTGGACCGATTGGTAAAATTTTAAATCAAGAGAAAGCACTTTTTACTGATTTTTTGCAGTCAAAAGTGATATTTACCAAGAGCATCAGTTAAAACCTTTAAAGTTTTGACAGTAACATAGATATAGTTTGAGAATTACAGAAAAACAGGGCACTTTTTAACCCGCTCTACTTAATATAAAGGGGGACACGTGCGCGATTAAGTCTTTAGTGACCGAAGTCGCGGGTAAAAGCCAGTACATATTAGCTACTAGTGTTGTAATAGCCCGGGTACGGGTAGTATGGACCGGGATGACCGGATATTAGCAGTCGTCCGACTGATTGTGATTTCCAAACATTTCCTAACTTGTGAAGATGGAAACTATTTTCTTGTATGGACGATGGCACATCAATTTCATCGTGTCTTATGTTGTAATTGCAATACTTTTGTAATTTTGTACAAAAAAATATATTATAGTGTGTACAGACAATACTTTAGTTTTGTTAATTTTACAATTAGTAATTTCACAATTTTCATCCAACCTTTGAAGGCTACGTCTCGGGGGAAATTTAACTGTCATTGGTCCTTCAACGAAATTAATCAGAAGAGCATCGGAACAGCCCCCCTAGACAAAACGCACTTTTTGATCGAATCGAAAATCGAATCCGTCAAAACTTTTTTTACAAAAAAGCGGCTTTTCGACCACTTTTCGACTGGTTTGCGATTATAATTTGCACTTTGTCTAGACCCACAGGAGTTCGAAGTTAGAGAAGTGAAAAAGTACAAGAAATAGTCAGAAATAGTCAATGTCATATCTTCTAAGGTCAAAAAGTCTACACTCACACTCACTCTACAAAAAAAAAATCAACATTGGCTCAGTTATTTCAGGCATTAAAAATTGAGAAAAGGCTTGATATTTATTTATTAGAAATGATGAGCTAAAAGAATTTGGATAAAGGTATTTGCGTTATTCATAGAAAGTCGGGACCGCAAAGTAAATTTTGCTACAAGATTTTCCACTAGTATTATTTTTATAAACCTAAGGGCAGTAAGGACACTTGAGTAATGGTCAATACTGATGTCTAGACGAGATGAAGGTCTCGAATGAGTTGGGTATTACGTAGATACCTAGGTTAGGTAGACAGATAGTCTAGGGTTAGTCTAGCTAGTCCAGGCCCGTCCAACATACAGCCCCCAGGCCACAATTTGGTCCACATAAGCCCTTCAACCTACCTAACACCCTATTTTTTTGGCCCGCTGCGGTTACAAAAATACTTATCCTAACAAAATTATGTTGGACACCCCTGGTCTAGTCGTTCGATTCAGCTAAATAATGTCCACTCCTGGACAAAGGCCTCCCCAAGGATTTCCACAACGGCCGGTCCTGTGCTGCCCGCAGCGATGTGTTTCCCGCGACCTTCATCTGATCGTCGGTCCACTTAGTGGTAGGCCTGCCTACACTACGTCTTCCAGTCCGTGGTCGCCACTCGAGAACTTTTCTACCCCAATATTTCTACGGGCTATGTATGAGATAGCTTGGATAGTTGACGTAGTCCACTTAGTTAGAGCACCCGCCTAAATAGCACCCGCATGAATAGCACCTAACCTAGTTGACATAGAGCACCTATTGATATCGCTATTCGTGAATACATCTTTTTTACCTTTTTGTCCGCGAGAGAGAGAACAAAATATCGATAAGTGCTCTATATAGACTAGGCCAGGTGCTATTCGTGCGGGTCCTATTTGGACTAAATATAAAGAGCTACCGTATAATAAATTTAAAGATATAGTTAAAGATCACATGCTTATACAACTCGAAATTTTCTTAATGATAAGTCATCCTGGGAGTAGGATTATGGTCCTCTCATGCTCGCACTAAAAAGAATTAAAATGAAAAGTAATGTATAAACTCATAATAATTTCTCAAATGTTATAGTGTCATGCTTCTCAATCTGGACTGTTACTTAGCTTTATTATTAGTTTTTTATTTTAAAGAGATAACTTGGAATTGTCATTCTCACTAAAATGTCTCTGGGGTGGTGGCGTAGTGAGGCGGGTCGTTACATTCCCTCTAATATGGTCGAGTGAAGCGATGGCTGGTTCACTCGTCATGTCTGTGAACAGGCGCTGCTTTCGGGGACTGGTCAATCCAAGTTATTCAAATTTATGTATGCGAGTCATTTCTACTAGTATCTTAATATGTAAGTCTAGATATTAGCACGTCACTACCTTGTTTAATATACCACGCAATCTTGTATACCCATTCTTATAAGATACACCATACAAGAATGCATGGTAAATTCAGTGAACTGCTCCTGAATCGAATGTACCTACTACTACTATTTCTATTTATTTATATTAACCGGCAGACAGTGGTGACTGAGTTTGTTGCGGCGCTTCTTCTCAGCACTTGCCAAATGTTGGTCTCGAAGCGCTGGTAGGGTAAAAAGATTATGAGACATGTAGAGGCTCCTTAAGAGCAAAATGACGATTTGTAAGAACTATTTATTAGTCCAAACAAATAAAGAAATTTTGACTTTGACTTTGACTTTGACTGGTGCTCTAATTTAACTACGTCGGATAGTCACTCGATGTTGACTAAGTTATTACCATAATAAGAATATGTAAATGGACGAAAATGTTGAAATTATCGCTTTTTATCTCCATTTTTCAGTAACACGTAATGTAGTTAAGCCGATCAGTTAATGTCGGTGGTGGCAGGGCAAGTTATTATACAGGGTGTCCCAAAAAGTAGTGTCAAGCCGAAGCCTAGAGGTAGAGCATCACTAGGGCTATGCAAATCATCCCCATGTATGTTCCGCGTTTTTTGATAGTTTTCGAGTTATGATTGTTTTAAATTTCTGTGCTTAAAGGCACTTTTTGGTCACTTTTTTTATTATTATTAGATGAATACTAGGCCTAACTGATTCCGAAGTATTTATATCCATAAAACGAATGTAACTAAAATCCTGTCATCCAGTCACGGTGATTTGGGTAGCCTTAGTGATGCTCTACCTCTGGGCTTCGGATTGACACTACTTTTGGGACACCCTGTATAGGTCTCTGTACCCTGAAAAGGGCGCACATACTAATAAAGAATTTCAATTTGAATATTTTATACCTATGTAGGTCAGTAGAACAAAAGTGTGAATGTAGGCAGGTACTTTAATATTCCCTTGAGCTTTGACTATGTAAAAGGTGGTAAAGACGCGATTTCAGTTCCAACACAATGTTATGTAAAATAATATTTTATATTAAAAGATGAAAACAAAGAAAACAGAAAATATTAAAGACTATAATTTAAGGCCGGGTTGTACCATCTTACTTTAACATTTTGTAAAAATCTGTCAAACTCCATACAAAAACCACCGGTTATGGTTAAAGTAACGGTTAAAGTTAGGTGGTGTACCTAACTCAGCCTAAGAGAAAATATACCTGTAGGGTTACCATTAAAATTATTTTCAATATCATCCCAACTTCCCAACTTCCCAACTAATATTATAAATGCGAAAGTAACTCTGTCTGTCTGTCTGTCTGTTACGCTTTCCCGCTTAAACCTCGCAACCGATTTTGATGAAATTTGGCATAGAGATAGTTTGAGTCCCGGGAAAGAACATAGGATAGTTTTTATCCCGGTTTTTGAAACAGAGACGCGCGCGATAAAGTTTTTCTGTGACAGACAAAATTCCACGGGGGCGAAGCCGCGGGCGGAAAGCTAGTTTCTTAATAAAATTTATAAGTAAAGAGGATGATATTGAAATTGTATAGGTAAATGTAATTATCACTGAGTAGCTCTGAGTTTGGTAATATTTTTTCAGGATATTCAACTAAGGGCGGATTTTACCATCGTCGGATAACTTTTAACTAAAGAATAAACTTGTCATTTTGACATAATATTTCCTATACTGAAACTGTCAATGTGCCAAACTTATCCTTCAAAACAATTTAAAACAATACCGTAAGTGCTTACAATCAGTAAAATGCTAATTATAGCCTGACCAGGATCATAAAAACCCTCGCCATGTTGCGGAAAACTAATGGTACTAATTTCTTTTAATGGCAACAGTAACTGAAAACTTCATTGACATGTCACCTTGCATGTCAGTCTATTGCTGTCAAAGTGTAAACAAAATTTATTTTAAATGTGCGCAATTGGTTTTATGAATTAAATTGCTAAAATATTTTTATAGTCGTGAAAGAAAAGTGGTTCACAATGTGTTAAAGTATTTGTCGAAGGGAAATACTAAGGGTTCGCACAATATTTTCATTGAATAATGTTTCCGACAAAGGTTGTCAAATTGACTGACATGTTTATCGTATAGTACAGTCCACTATGAAAATTAGCTGTGGTTTGTTTCAACTACCTATTTTAAAAATATTGTCACTTTCTAAGTGTTGAATTCTCTAGGATTGGGAAAGAAGTACCGAGTTTGAAGCGTTCATGAGCAGACATTGCAGTTGAATATTCAAGTTCTGAATTTGATTTATTGATGAATAACAAAATAAATCTACTAGCTCGATTGATGGTTTCATTTAATTTATTAAAATCAGGTTACCTATAAAAATATTTTTTCGTTAATTTATGAAAATATCAAATTAGCCCGTAATCCTGAATCCTGATACATAAAGTTAGCCTATTAATTTAACACAGGTACGACTGTACTCAGTGTTGCACTATCAAATGCAATTGACGCGCCTCTATGCCATGCCAGGGTTTTTATGTTCCTGGTCAGGCTATACCTAAATTATTTACAGAAAAAAAAATTGATCAGTTAAACTTTTGAGTTTTGAACTAATGTCATAATGTTAATTCATAAAGTACCTACGTAATTTTCGAAACACAGATGAAATTAAATCATTTTCATTTGCGATCCATCCAGGCGTTTCCAATTCACCTAGAGGCAAAATAAAAAAATAATACACTATACTTTCGCTCTTCCATGGGCATCCATTAAATTCAATTAATGCAATTAATAGCATATATTCGGCGGTTACTTTGTCCATGTTTGCTAAAAACTTCGGCCCTAAACACACCTAAGCATGACTGTCATAGTGCTTGCTACTCGCGGTAATACAAGCTAATGTTGATTTGAGAAGGAAAACATTTTCCCACTATGGTAAATCGATTTATTTCTAAAATCACAAACGGTAGGTACTTACACAATTGCTTTGCAAATTAGAAACTTACATGACTTTTTATTTTCGTTTATGAGAATAGGAAAGCGTTTTAAACTATTTTATAAAAATCGATTGGCTTATCTCAATTCGTTGGTCGAGTACCTACTTACTTAACACGTTGAGTGCGAAACCAGGTCTATAGACCTTGTGTACGTCTCGCTTACCGTGCGGCTAAGAAAATTATAGTCTTCCTTGTCGTGCGAAAGGCATAACTTCAATTGGGTCCGGTGTAGGAAAGTGATGAATATATATCTATGATGTATTCCTAAAATAGAATCCAATGATGTACCTACCTTAATACCAGGTTTTTAGACCTGGTACCGCACGGAAGTAATAAAATGTCTTCACAATGCGAAACCAGGTCGAAGCACCTTGTACCCTGCGCACCTGGTACCGCACCCCACGCTAGCTTCGTGCAGCCAGTGTTGCCTCGCATTCGTAAGATACGCACATGTCGACATGGCGTCAAGAGAAACAAACAAAATCAAAACTGCAAATTGATTATAATTTAATTTGCTACAGGATTTATTGCTAATTTAAATAATGTTTTTCGTGACAAACATTTGAAGTTGTAACTAAATGTTATTAAATAATAGGTTTTCTTTAAATATAGCTTATTTAAGTATTTATGCACGTATGTCTTATTTGTAAAATATTTAGACTAAATTATTACAACATCTTTGTTTGTTACTTTTTTTAATTTTTATTAAAACTTAATTTAAACTATCGATATTTGTATTTCACATCCCTAGAATACCCACCAGACTTCCCTACTTCTGTGCGGCACAGGGTGCATAAGCCTTGTATTTTGAATATAGCTATAATTTTTATATTAAACAAGTTATTCACGAACGCCTTCAGGTGTATGTCAATAAATGCATTATTATTAATATTCAAAGAAAAAAAACACAATATCTATTAACATGAAGCCAAAAATAAAGTTAATATATCTTAAATATTACAAGGTCTTTAAGCCTTGTGCCGCCACAATGTAAGTTTTAATACCAGGTTTACTGACCTTGTACCGAAGGAATGGAAAGTATTAGAAAGTTACTGCCGCAGCAAAGGTGTTAATTAATATCGCATACCTACGCAAGAATCTCAAGAATCTTGCGATTTATGCTTCTAATTGAAGTAGAAAGACACATAATAAACATCTACAATAAACTTCTACGATACGAGTACCTAATAAAATTTTTATTTACATTAATTGTTACTTGTACAAAATATTATTTACTCTGACCGGTAGTTAACATGACGGAAAAATTCAATTACCTAAATTTCAAATGAAGTAATATTATTTTTAGGTATATCATTTACTTTAAAATTATACTTATTTGTAATTGCGACTGACTTACCTAGTCTTGTTGAAGAATTGTATGAATGAATACTGAAAAGACAGTGAAAGTAAATGCTTGTCATAGCGGCACTAAGTACATACATTTGATATAACAATTAATGTGATTTATGTACAGGAAATAGGAAAGAATTAACAAATAATAAGTGTACTACGATCATAAATAAACTTAATTTGTTAAACGTCAAAGTTAAAACAATCAGTCCTTGACTTTGTTCAATAGAATTAAATTTTTGGTTATTTTATTAGTATGTGGTGAATATTTTTTTATGATAATTAACTGACTCTGATAGGACTCGAACCCATGACTCTCTCCTATAAACAATTGATTCAGAGTTCTAATCCATACAGTAAGTAATCTTAAACACACAATCTATTCACATTCACACAACTATTCATTTATGACTAACAGTATTAATCAACTGACTGCATAACTACACGCAATGCAATGTTTATGAAGTGCGAAATCATGTTTTGATTTCGTTTTCAATTTAATCCATCCAGATTCAGTATCATTTAACTTGACTTGTGTCTTCACCAGAAGGTGGATTTTCTTTGTGAAGAGTTGAATCTCTTTACTATTGTAATATTCTGTACCTGTAATATGCAATAATGTTATCTAAATGTTTCTTCTTTACAACGTTTACATGAAAATCACAGCGGATTTTCGCGCGACAAAATCGCACCCCATTATCCATCGTGCCGCGAATGGCCCGCCTTACTTCCCCAGCGGCGTCCCGGGTGGTAGAGGGGAGTCCAGACCGCGACGAGCGCTCGCCCGGGCCGTACGCGCCATGACATTCTAACCGCGCCACAGTGATCTGGAAAATGACGCGATACTACACCCTTATTGTGATGCTGCTGGCAGTGTCGGCTATAGGTAAGCTGTAATTGATTATGCCTTTGCTTTTTTTGTTTTTAAAAAGTAGAGTTTGATGTTTTCGACGGGTTCCATTGACAGCGATTGGGATACAGATAATCAAATAACAGAAATGGACCGTCCTTTTTAGAGGAATAACAAGTATTTTTACATCGAGGTAAATAAAAATACTTTTTCAATGTTATTTCACAGTAGCAAAGGAAATTACCTTTTTAATAAATGCCAGTTTGTTTTGCTGGCCATTTATAAGTAATGTAAAAAAATATTATTCTTAATTTATATTTTAAACAATGCGTTCTTATTTCTAAATAGGTTAAGTAATTTTTTAAATCTAATTAGCTCTGAAAACTTGGCAGTAACAATTATTTTCGTCACTTTAGCCATAACGAAAGAAAAATAAACGCGCGTCTATTGTTTTTTCTGTCAATAAATTACGCGTGGGTGGTCAGATAATTCTTGTCTGTGCATTTTGTTAAGTTATCTTTTTAATAAATTAAAACGTAGACTTTTTCACGTAGGTATATACCTGGACGACAAAGACAAAATTAATTATTTAACATTGTACAGAACAACATCCCACGTTTAAGTATAATTTACTTTTTAATGAGTTCATTAAGCTGCTTTCGAGAAAAAGAGCCTTTAACCTTTATTTACTTGCGTCAAGTAGACGCGTGTATTTATAACTTTTACCTTCATTAATGTGAAAACACGTGTAAAACTTTATTGAATTTTAAGAAATTGTTTATACGTACCGTTGAACTAATAATTGTTAATTTTCACTTTTCAATGTTTTCATGAATATTATTTAAAGATGGACTAATTGATGACCCTTGTGGAAGACTTAGGTCCAGCGCTGGATTGCCGTAAAGAAGATAATAGCCCATAGAAATACCTCTAAACCATAGATTAATAATTTTGACGAAACGTTTGCATAAAGAATAGTGTAATTGGTACTACCGTTCTATTCATGAATAAATAAATAATAAATAATAATAAATAAAGACTATCCATCTAGGCTTTATCTTATAGCTAAACTAAGTCAGAAAACCTTTGTGTTGTAACTCATCAAAAAGTTCCAGATCTTAATTTGGGTCCTGAAAAATGTTGTTATATAAAATACGAAATATACTGACTTAGATGAAAAACCTACGACCTTTCGCCTGGTGATTGCCTGAAGCAGTCGGTTTTATTAAGAAAAATCATATCAAGGCATTTCACAATCTGTGAGATATTAATGAGGGTTTTCGCGATTGAAAAATCCGCCAGATGGCGGGACGTGGATGTAGGGTCTGACTTCTGCGTGATTGGTGGATTTTAACATATCTGTCAATGTCATGTCAAATATAACCAATCATGCAGCATTTGAACCTCACGTCTACGTATTGCCATCTGGCGGATTTTTCAATCGCGAAAACCCTCATTGCGAAGGTATTCAGAATTCACAAACTTATGTCTTATCTCATATAGTTAGTTGGATTTTAGCATTTACGAGTATATTCATCTAGTTAACTGACTGTGGTGACTGCTTTTACCATTGAGCTACAGAAACATTTACCCAGATAATGTTATGCGGGTCAGTATGGGAATTAGGTTAATTTTAATCTTCAGTTAAAAGTTAACCGGCGATTGAAAAATCAGCCCGTCACTTAAAACAACTGATTGTTTTTTTTTTTCGAGCGACTTGGACCGACGGTAAAATCTTGAAGAAGGTTTAATGCAAGAGTATATATTTTATAATTCTCCAAGCAGAAAGGTAGTACGATAAAACAAAAGATAATAGATTTCCATCTTATCTGTAACCTCCACCCCCTATATTGACGTCGACGACCCTTAGGGGTGACACCTTCCCAATAATTAGATGAAACTGAAGCCAAATTCTTTAATTAGCTCCTAATGACGTCAAAGTGCTTTCCTAGTAATTAATATGGCCTTAGTTGGGTTCCCTAAGGAGTCCTAGCAACTTTGGGTTTTGCATTAATTAACGATAATTATCGTTGTCATTTTCTTTAGTTGGTAAGACAAATGCTTAAAGATGTCTGAATATTCTTTTTTAACGTCGTCAATTATGTAAACTAATTAATTTTATAATTTATCAATATTAATTATTACTAACTATTGTAGAATATTTAGTAATGTACCTATGATACAAGATTTGCAACACCCTTACAGGGTCATAAGTTGAGACTAAGTTTAAGATCACCACCTATGTACACTTATGAAGCAATAAATAAATGATTATGATTATGATTATTGGTGTGCCTCAGGGGTCGATATTGAGCCCGGTGCTTTATTTAATTAATCAACGTACTTTCAGTTTTCCGTTCATCCATTCATATTTTGTTCGTTATTTTTTACAATAATTATTGAGATACTTTTACCTCATGCTTAAAAACAAAAGTAGGTTTTTCCTGTTATCTATGTATAATATAAAAACAATACAAAAACAGTACCTATTTCATTAGAGGAAAATGTTCCCAGATTATTTTTAATTTTGAGGAAGCGGAAGGGCCTTCGATTTTGTATTTTTTTAATTAAAGCAGTCAGATATAAATAGTATTTGTAAAAGAATGAATAAACTTGGAAAAACTACAGAAGGCAGTAAAGAGATCCCGAAGCAACGATAGAACAGGTAAGTGAGATCAGGTCAATAACTTCCTGGATGTAGTAAAAACATATCAGTACTAACTGACTGACAGACTGACATAGTGATCTATCAACGCACAGCCCAAACCACTGGATGGATCGGGCTGAAATTTGGCATGCAGGTAGATGTTATGACGTAGGTATCCGCTAAGAAAGGATTTTACGAAACTCCACCCCTAAGGGGGTAAAACGGGATCCACGCGTGCGAAGTCGCGGGCGGCCGCTAGTCTATATTACGGAAATAATAACCATTACCTTAAGTTTCTGGTTGGCAACCACCCGAGCATTACGAGATGAGCTGGCTCCGAGCCATATCTGAGGGATTGCTTAAGTAAGCTTTAAGAGAATTGGAATTTTAAAGCCATTTTGTGTTCCACTTATGGGACTTGTCCCAATGCCAACGAAAAAGCGACTATCAAAATATTTGAATATTTATTTAAGTCTATCAAGAAGTTAAACTCTACAACGACTTCCTACACATTTTACGAATAAAAATACCTACTATTTAGAAATTTTACGAATAACATGCGCACATACGCATGATTGAAAATATTAGACACGCAAAATTAACAAAATATTGTTTCTATTTGGATACAAATTTAATGAAAAGTATTCCTTCTTTATACATATACCTTGCTTTGCCATGGCTCTCATATACAATTAAATTATCTATAGTATAAACACCAAGGAAACGCAACTAAAGTAAAAGTGGCGTTAACGACGTGAAGAGTACATAAATAATAAGTCTATCACTCCAATGACTGATAATGACATATATCAACATAGAGACACGCACTAGGCACTGTCACTTTGTTATGTACATCGACGGAACGACAAGGTAACCACTGTGGGTTCTTGTGCAGCTGTAATAGGGGCGAGTTTGCATAAAAAAATGGGTAGCCTGATGTGCTGTCGTGTGCAAATAGGTAATTCACAGCACTTTATTCTGTTAGTCAAGATTTTTTATTATACATAAAAATGTCATTTTTACATTATAATGCTCACATTCTCAAAGCATCACAAAAAGTCCACAGATTATGATATTATAATGTGAAAAAAAAAATTAGAAACAAATAGAATATAATCTATAAATATATGTTTAACTCAAAGATGACTGACTGACTGACTGACATAGTGATCTATCAACGCACTGCCCAAACCACTAGACGGCTCGGGCTGAAATTTGGCATGCAGGTAGATGTTATGACGTAGGCATCCACTAAGAAAGGATTTTACGAAACTCCACCCCTAAGGGGGTAAAACGGGATCCACACGTACGAAGTCACGGGCGGCCGCTAGTTTTAGCAATAAGGGTGTTTTTAAAATCGTGTGGATGAATTACCCCGCGTGAGTTTTCCACGCATTCAATAAATACTTGTATGAAAAACACTCTAATGCCCGTTTCCACCACCAATCCCTGATTTTTAAGTGACCCCTATGAAAAGAAAATTCCTGTTATGTGTTACCATAGGGGTCACTTAAAAATTAGAATTTATTTGTTAAAATTATTGATTAAAATGGTAAGACACGGAATGTACTCACGGCTTGACGTTTCGGCTGCTATGCTGTGCAGCCGTGGTCACAAGTCACAACCAGACTAGTGATTTTAGTTGAAATGGAACGCGAAAGTTAAAATCTTATACAGGGTGTTGATTTCAATACTCGCCATATTTATTTAGGTGATATATTATGACTTACATAAACGCATTATCCACCAAAAAATAAATTACAAACGAAAGTGGAATTTTTAGCGAATATTTTCCGTGCAACATCAACTGTACTATGGCTCGCAATAATGCAATATACGTTTACTGTGGCACGGGCACCCATCGAGCTACGCGGATCGCTCGCTTATCATGTTGGATAGTCTACTGAAGGATACGTAAAGTTGGTAGTGTAAATAGGTATTTTTCTTTGACTAACTAAAGTTAAAGTTCGTGTTAAATTAGTTTGCTGGTTCCTATGTGTGTGTGAGTGTATTGGAGCGCTTTCCGCCACTACCTACCGCGACGGCGGGAGTATTTTCTACACAAAATTACCAGATTATTCACTTCCTACATTAAAAAGGAATGTCCTTTAAGTTTAGAGTTAGGTACTTACCGATGCGACTTCAGATGCGTTTCCACGTGCCCTCCCGTAACAGTAAACCATGTTTACGTATCTACTCACGAGCACTGTACGTATGGTTAGGCATATTCCTAACACTCACTCACTATTACCACACTCACTATCACACGTTCACACACTAACTACTCAAAACCGCACGAGAAAACAATCAAAAATCGCAAATTTGCACATTCGATGACCGAAGATCTTTGTTAACTAAAGATCCGTCCTATCATAATTAATGCTCTTAT